CCCAAAATTTTCCCTCTCACTTATCAAGAATTTCCTCACAAGATCTCTTTGACTCAAGACTGGATTAGGGTTTGACTAGCTCAAGACATCTCCTCAAGCACTGATGACTGAAAATTAAGGTTTGAGTTTGCACATGGACAAATGGACTTTTAATGCCCCATTTTACTTTCATGGATCATTTTGGACTCTCAATATTGCTCATGTCAAGTTTAAGGTATTGGATCGCATTTTTGATCAGTCAATTGATCGGATCAGCCGTATTGGTGAAAAAAGTCAATTGTAGCACCAAAAGTCAAACTTTGACTTTTTGGTCAACATTAAGTTTCAAATATCATAATCCATCAAGACATTCAAGAATATCAAGCTTAATCATCAAGAAGTCAAGAAAGTCAAAAGTCAACTTAAAAAGTCAAGATTTCCAAGACAGAAATTTTCTAAGTTGTTTTTTATACATGATAATTTCATCACTTCATGTCATTCTTTCACCAAGATGCAAAACGGTTCAAGGGAAACTTTCAACATGAAAGTTGTAGATTTCCATGATATCTAAAACATTGCTTTATACAACTTCTCCTAAATATGAATGGATCTCAAGTTATAAATTCATGAAGTCGTGACATTTTCATTTAACACTTAGAGAAATTTTCAGCAGGTTTGGTCAGGTTTTTATCCCAACTTCTTGGAAAATTTTCATCAAGTTCCAATTTGATTTAACAAAAATGGTCAACATGTAAGTTATAGAGGGTGTTTCAAGCTTTACAAAACATCCAAGAGCATGAATTTATCATACTTGAGCTAGGAGATTCAAGGGCATGAAGTTGGGCATCCACCCTTGATTTGCAAGTCATTCTATTGAAGAACACACAACAAAACTCTTATGCTATGCTGCATAATCTTATGTTGCAGGCCTTCTTGCTTGAAAATCTCTATATAATTTAATGTTTACACCCACTTTTGAGCTATTACCCAAGTGTTTAAGCCATTGTCCAAAGGATCTTTCCATTTATGGCATAAAGGCACCATTTCTATTCTTAAAAAGCAAGCTTTTTGTACAAAACTTGTCTTGAGCCCATACTTTGTTTGTTTCTGATTTTACTCCACCATAAAACATGGAAATCAACCCCTCTAAACTAGCAACTTTTGTACTTCATCTTGGAACCATGGAGTACTTGACATAGTTTGATACTTACATCCCAACCAAACCATAACATGTTGTCTTGTAAACCTATTCAGCCTTTGTTCACAAGTCCTTTGCCTATAAATAGAAGAAGCATTTGCAAGACAAAGGGGTTAGAAAAGAGAGAGAGAGAGAGAGAGAGAGAGAGAGAGAGAGAGAGAGAGAGAGAGAGAGAGAGAGAGAGAGAGAGAGAGAGAGAGAGAGAGAGAGAGAGAGAGAGAGAGAGAGAGAGAGAGAGAGGAGAGGAAAAAGGGAGAAATAAAACCAGAAGTTTTGTTGACAAACTCTCAAAAATCTCATATTCACAAAAGCCATAACAGTCCACAAAACTTCCACTATTGAGTTTAAAGTCCAAACCTTTGAACCTCTCATACCTTGCAAATTATGTCCAACCATCTAAACACTCCACATACATCATATAGAAATTGTTCAAACACAAGAAAAACTTCTGTAAGATCATTTTCATCACTTCCCAAGTTCAACAACAGCCCATACAGCAGCTCAAACTCAAAGCACAAATTTCAGTTTCAAGGTAAGTTTTCTTGGCTTTAAACTCTTCATTTCAATCATCGTCATTTGGTTCATTTTTTAGGCTAAAATGCAGTGACCTTTGAAGAAAAGGTTTGTAAAAAATCATGAACAATTGCCAAGATTGAATGAGAAGTTTTCCATGAAATAGTATCATGAACAGGCAGGTGTAAGACAGCTGTTTTTTCAAAATCATACAGTGTACAATCGATTGCACAACCATGCAAATCGATTGCACGGGGTTCCAGTAGCCAAATTTCCAATTATTTAGAGTGTGCAATCGATTGCACAACCATGCAAATTGACTGCACGGGGTTCCAGTAGCCAAATTTCCAAATTTTTTGACTGTGCAATCGATTGCACAACCATGCAAATCGATTGCACTCAAATAAAAATTGATTTTTTGCTTTGAAAGAACTTGAATAAAGGTTTGGACAATATAAAATGTTTCTTTTGACCATTGAGCATCTATATCTTAAGTTCAAGGTAAGTATTCTCATTATACCTTGAAATTTTCCAAGGGCTTGAACTAAAGACTTTATCCAAAGAGGCTTTTAGCTTGATCAATAATTTTTGCCTTCTTTATCAATCATGACTTGTCTTCATCAAAACAAAGTGCATTCGAGAAGCTTGATTTTACGGCATGTGCCGACATATAATGATCCAAAATGTTTTCCTTTCATTTCATTTTTCTTTATCTTTACATGCTTCATATATTTTCTTCATGGCTATTCAATATGGTTGTAATAGATAATTAGGACTTTAATTTCTTGAAATCCCCATTTGTAAATTTGTACACCCCGTCCCCAAATGATAGTAATAGCGTAGGATATTTACTTTCCGCAATTTATCGCTTTACATATAACATGTTAATAATTAGAGTTTGTATGGCAAGATAAAACCAATCAAATAGAAAATCCTAATTCAAGACAAAATCAAGCATGAAAATGAGACACTTGCACATAAACACCCCTAGGGTTACTCCACTTGGTTGCCTTGAACAAAATGGCCATGTTACGCATGTAAGATATCTTAGCAAAACAAACAAAAAAACAAGATCATAGTCCCTCGATGACGCTACTCAAAGTTGCCTTACAAAAAATGATCTTAGTCCTTGGAAATGCTAAGATACTTTGCAACATTGCTAATCATGGTTATACGATTACCTACATCCGTCCCGTTTACATCCAAAGATAGGGTTGCTTACCAAATCAATGATAAGTCAACAATATCAAAGGAAAAGAAAATGAACAAGAAAGACATTTGAGTAGGTAGATTATTTTTAGTTACTTGGTCCATTTCAAACAAAGGTCCTTGCTATTTTCAAAACAAACACACACATTTCCAAACATCTTACAAACATTGAAAACATTTTCAAAAAAAGACAAACATCTTTGTATACATTCTTACGAACGAGAATCATTACAAAGATTGCCTAAACAATGGCCTCTTTTACAAAATATTTTCAAAAACACACAAAGCACAATTTCAAACAAAAACAAGTGATCTAACAAGTAACTAAGAGTCCATTTGCGACTCTTGCTAATAAAACGCAAAACCTTCAACTCAGTTCTTCCACCGCATCACACATTTTTACTTGGAAATTGGGAGACGACAACGACTAAGGTGTTTCCGGCAATTTTAACGGTGGTATGCGGTTTCATGGTGGTAGATCTACTTCATGATATTGTAAACACTAATTAGTCACATTTATAAATTGTTATCAGATTTATTGTGATTTTGGAAATTTAGTGGAAAAACATTTGATTGTTGTGGTTTTATTGTGAGATAACAAAGGATTTGTTCTTTTGAAAAATATGCTGCTTACAGTTATTATATATGCATGCTTAGGATGATTTTAAAATGTGGCTTATTCTAAAACCTGAGGTTAAGTGGCATCACAAACTTCTGCTTATACTCCCTTATACTTGATTTATCCTGAATGTTACCGCTTTTTTCCTTGACCAGAATGATTTCTTATCACAGACAACCACCCCATTGAAAGATATATTAAAGTCGCTGCTATGTTATGTTATAACATCACATTTATGCATTTTTCTACATGCTTATTATTCTTAGTTATTATTTGATGTAGTTTCACACTATGGAGTCTGGAAAATGTTCCTATTTCCTGTAATCAACCTTTATGAAATACATCTGAATGGAATTTCTGCAGTGTTACTACATATACTTATGGTCAAGGCAGCCAAGACATTTTCCAATCAAATAAATTTAGAGTTACAAAGTCAGCACATTTAAATACTCTTTAAAATCATGTGTGCCTTGTCGATTAGAAAAGTGTTAGGTCTCTATTAGTGACTATTATTGTGAGAGAAGAATAAAGTAAATTAGGTTGAGATAGTAATGCATGTTATCTATGAGTAAGAAGAGAGGTCTTGATCAAGAACTATAATATCATTTTATAAGAGATTTAAGACATTTTACATGGGAGAGGCATATCCTTGAAGTTCTGCAACATCTTTGTAATTGAGGAGTTTATCTCAATTTCTTTGGAAAAAGATAGTGGGTTTTAAGAAAAAGTAATATGTTTCTATTGTTGATGCTGGAAGAAGGAGTTTTGAAAGGTCAAGAGCTAGAGAATGCCCTATCATATGCCGACTATACCAAGATTGCACAGACCCCATAAACTTTTGGAGTTATTTGCATAACTTTGCAGGTTACCACGTGGCGTGGCAGAACCCATGTTTCAACACTTTTTAAGCTGCAGGCACAACCTTCTGCTGAAGATTGTTTGACAAAGTCAGAGATAAATATTGATGTGTTGAAAGAGGTATGAAACTTGAAACTCTTTTTGCTTGTATGTTAGGTTCATGCTCCTACTTAGTCTTTTTGATTATATAGCGCGAGTCTTTTAAAATATTCACCCTTCTGTCCGAATAATTAAAATTGCTTTCAATCCTTAATAATTAAATATCTATTGTGATTGTGATTTTTATGTGAATTGGAACAAGGTAATTGAAATTGATTTGTGTCTATTAATTTTGTGTTTATCAGGAGATACCCGATCGTTTGATAATCCGAGGAGAAGAAAGGCTATAAGTACGGGGTGGTGTCGGATATGTAAAATTGTCTGTGAAACAGTTGAAGGTTTAGAATTGCATTCTCAAACAAGGGAGCACAAGAATATGGCCATGGATGTAGTTAAAGCAATCAAACAAATTGAGAAAAGGTTTGTTGGTTTTGTTACTGATCTATCGAGATCGACGAAATTGATTTTTAATATAGTGATTAAAAAGAGAAAGATATCAACCATGATGGTTGCAAAAGTTTTGGTATGGTTATATTTTCCAATAACTATTATTATAAGAAATTAGTTAACTATTATTATAAGAAATTAGCTTTAATTTATATGATTAATTTTGGGTTGAAGTTGCTGGATCAAACTTCTTATTATTCTTTCCGGAAACTGCTAGAATTTGTTCAGATGGTGATTTTATTTGTATCCGAAACTTCCATATGTAATAAATTTGTTCTTGTGATTATTTAATCAAGTCGGTGCAAATTGAGGTTTTCAAGAATATATGGCAGCATGTGGTTAGGAAGAGAAATAATCAGTGGAAAGATCTGAAGCAATATGGTGGTGAGTTATGTGAAGGAGATTGAAAACAAAAGCTTCTCTAAAAAAATTTTTATCTCTAAATGTTTTGCCATTTGATAAAAAAATTATGGAAATGATGAATGTTCCTGGGCTCACTAGAGAAAGTGTTGCTAGCCATCTTTAGGTATAATGCTATAATGATATTGCTACTTTTCAGAGTCTTGCATTAGATGAAAATGAGATATGACTTGTAAAGATATGTAAGCTAATGGAAGTGTAATGTCATGAGTATTGATATGATGTTTCATTATAGAGGTTTGCACAAGTGTGTCATCGGCGTCGACAAATATGAATGAGCTACAACAATGGAAAGGTCTTTATGGAAAAGACAAACCTCGAAAAACAAGATGATCTTTAAGTTACTTCATGTAAAGGTTTCTATAGAGCATTTCTTGCGTAAGATATTATTATTCTTATATGACCTTAGAATGTGTAACAGGGTCAGCTAACAGTTGATATGGAAATTCTATATGTGGCTTTCCATTTTTCTTTCTCCAACCCTCACCTTCCATATTTTCCATACTTAGAAGAGTTTGATAATTTCAATGGGGATAAAAGCTTATTTTAGGCCCTCATACCAATTTTCTAAAGTATGGTAGAACATAGACCATTAACAATTTACAATAAGGGTGACAATCCATTCAATTTCCATTCCTTGCAATTATATCGAAATTCAAATAGAATTTATTTATGTCATTATTGTAACTAATCTTCAGGGCTTATCCTCAAATCAGGATATCTCAAGAGTAATATCATAAACAAGTCCAAGAAAAATTAACTTACTCATAAAAAATAAACAAAGCACACTTCATGATGAGTGGTGCTATGATATAGAAGATAAGTGCATGTACATTTTAGAACATTCAACAGAAAAATCACACATGGACCTGAAGATCATTTTGGAAATTGGAAATAAAAGATAATTTTAAAAGACCATTATTTTTAATTATTTATAATTTTTAAAGATAATTTAATTTAGAAATAAATCCAAAATAAATAAATAATTGTAAATTACAAAATTGTAAAATTCAGTCTAAATTTTAAATTTTGATTTTTGCACACACACAAATATTAATATGATACGCACGCATGATACTGATATTAAATTACTAATTTAAATATTGAGTAATAACTGAACAAATTTATTATTAATTTAAATATTTTTATAAATAATTCTAAAACAAAAAATTTTATATAGAGAAATAATTAAGTTGTTGATTTATTATCTCTGTTAAAAATAGTAAATTACTTTAGTTAGGAATAATTGGTAAATTATTTGAATTTTTTTATTTTATTATAATGTCTTATTTTTTTAAATTTATAAATAATTGACGACAACTTAACCTATCACATTAGTATTTGTTCGAATACAAGAATATTAATATGATACGCGTAAATGTAAAAGAATTTTGATAAAAATAATTTTATTTTTATTTCAAAAATATGTTTTTTTTAAATAATAAACAATTTTCATAAAATAAATTTATTTATTTTATTATATTTTAAAAACAAAAATGTGCCACCACACCATTCTTAGGAGTATTCGCGATTCAATTTGGATTGACTTTAAGGCAAAAACTCGTCGGATTCAAAGATAAATTTATTTATAATTTAGTTCGGTTTTAGATGATATATTAAAAAAATTAATTCGATCTGATTTAATTTATGCGTTTTAATTTAAATCAGTTTTAAATATCTAAATTATATATTATATTTTTATTAATATTATAAAAGTATTAATAAATCATAGATTTGATATAATATATAACATTGTTAATATTACAAAATGAGAGGGATCAATTAAGATTGAAATAATAAAAATAAATAAATTATATCAAACTAATAAAATTATTTAAAAAATTATTATTATTTAATAATAAATTCATGTAATATATTATAATAATAAAAAATAAATAAATATAAAAATATATGTATGTGACTCGATTTGATTTGGATCGATTTTAAAAAATTAATCTTAAATTCAAATTAAATCAATAAATTTTTATAAAATAACATTTAAACACGTTCAATAAATTTTAATTTTTTATAATTTTTTATTTTAATTTGAATTGATTTGAATTTAAAGATCTCTAACCATACCATACACACACATCCCATGGCTTATAGTTTGACATTTAATAAACGTGATAAGAGAGGAACGTAGACGTAGCATTATTTTCTTTAATATTTTAATATTATTCAATGATTGAGATATCACATAACTTCATTACTAGACAGAGTGCATTATTTTCTTTAATATTATTCAATGATTGAGATATCACATAACTTCATTACTAGACAGAGTACATTATTTTCTTTAATATTTTTAATATTATTCAATGATTGAGACATCACATAACTATGAAGTTACTTGACAATGACAGAGTCTTTAGAGGTGGTCCAGTTTACCATTCGGCCACTAACAGAAGAACGTGGACACCCTCGCTTACACTTGACATTTCTCATATTATATGATTTTATTATTACATCCTTATTTAATGTTATTGAATTTCAAAAAAGATGAATAGGTTTTTGCTCTTCGGTAAAGCAATATTTATCTTCTTTTTTTTCTTTCTTTTTTGGTGTACGTAATATCTTCTTTACATTGCTTATTAAAAAAATCTCTTTTACACTATTGGAAATATAATTTACTTAATGTCTACGATTCTCAATTCTTATTTTTTAATAGGTTTTTTGACATTTTCAATTTGTAGTATAAATATGTTACATAGGCTATCAATATTGTAACTCATTCATTCCTCTTTTGATATACAATAGTAGTCTTTTTTATTATCATTCATTGCTCATTTTTCTTCTTCCCTTTCATTACCTTGCACCAACAAATTAGTATCTAAAACACTTGGTTCTGTTTTTCTTGAGAAACACGAGTGTTTGTGAGTTGTGTGTTTGATTTTGGTTCATTGATTTTCGGTTGAAATCTTGAACAAAATCTAAACAGAATCTGATTCTGTGGATTGAGAAACAGTGCGTTTGAAGATCTGAAAAATCCGTGTAAGGTTTAAAATGAGTGGAGACAGTAGTTTGAACACTAAATTTAGTTAATGTCTATAATTCTCAATGCTTATTTTTTAATAGGGTCTTTTGGCATTTTCAATTTGTAGTATAAATATGCTACATAGACTATCAATATTGTAACTCATTCATTCCTCTTTTGATATACAATAGTAGTCCTCTTTATTATCATTCATTATTCATTTTTCTTCTCCCCTTTCATTACCTTGCATCAACATACACAAATTGAATTTTTTTTTCTCCAATAACTCATTTCTTTAACAAATATAATGTCTAAGTAATAATGTAGGTATCTCTTAAACTACCATAATTGTAATTATGTTCTTCGCTAAGAATTTTCTTTTCTTATAAATTTCTTTTTTTTACAAAAATTATAATAAAAAAAGATAGAAAGACTTGGGTGTGAAAAGTAGTTTGTTCATTGAGAGACAAGACAAGAATAAAGTTTAAATTATAATGATAGTTTTAGTAAATAAAATAAAAATAAAATAAATTTGTTATAATTTTAGAGATGATGTTGTCGTTAATGTATAGTGTAATTACTAGCATTTGACTAAGTGTAAGTGTGAGGCTCAAGAAAAGATTGACTTTCATGATACTATTGCGTCTACATCATGTACACAGTGTGTATTGTCTCATCATATTAAATAATGTGTAGTTCCATCACATTTAAGAAAAGATGATGCAAAAGATTTATAAAAGAATTAAATATTTTTTCATAAAAATGTTAAAAATAAGATATATAAACTTATATTAAATAGAATTAAATATATTTTTGTTTCAATGATTTTTTATTTTAGTCTCTATAAATATTTATTTCAATGATTTGTCCTTACAAATTTTTTTTTATATGTTTCGTCCTCAACGTTAACTTGAATTAACGGTTGTTGACCTGTAATTAAAATTCATTTTATTTTATTTTATTACGATTAAAATAACATTAACACAATTTTACGTGTATATGATCATTTAAATAATATTGTAATCCTAAAATACTTAAATGAAACCCTAAAATCTCCTTCTTGGTCTGAAACACTCAAAGTCTGAAAAATTCATCGTGTTTGTTTGAATCGTAGTTGAAGCGCGAATTTCATCCTTCATCTTTCCTTCACACAATCGTTCGTTGAAACGTGTGATCCCAAGTCAGGTGTGTTCTAATCTTTTTTTGATTTGTTTATGGTTCCCACTTGCCCGACAATTTATATATTTTTTTGCATTATGTGTTGTGTGGACCACTTTGTTGTATTTTAGTGTTGATTGTTAATGGTATATGTGGGCCATATTTTTTTCTTCAATTTCTTGATTTCAATATACACTATGTGTTGTATTGCCTAAGTTACTCTTTTACAATATAGGGTTATTCAATGTTGTGTTTTTTACAAAAGGGTCTTTTGTAAAAGGCCCAGATATAAGGTGCGAAGGTGGGGACATTTTTGCATTTACTGGACAAGACACAAATTTCTAGTCGTTCTTTGAAGCTCGTGACCTTATCAAAGGAATGGACTCTACATTTAATGTAGATGATGCTTCTACCTTGGCTTGGTATGCTGTGAACAATAATTCTGATGTGGAAATTTACACAGGGGTCAAAATTACTACAGGTGAGATGACCTATATGAAAAAGATTATATAGAGACAAAAAGGGCATAAAAGTGATGAGGGATAGTGATGATGAGTATGAATCAAGTGAAGATTTTGTGTATTGTCACTACAAAAAAAGGTCATCCGTCACGACCATAAAACCGCAGTTATATGCAAAATAATTATGGTTGTAAGATTTGGCCACAATTGGCCACGAATAAATGACTATGGGATATGCAGCTGTGACCTAAATTATAAGCCACGGTTTTCATATT